TGTGTGTGTGTGTGTGTGTGTCTGCGCCCAGCTGCTAGCAAGGTAGACGAGGAATAAGAAGGAGCGAGGAATAGCCACACGAGGAAAGGGACGAGCAAGACTGTAGTGTTCCTGATACTAGTTGTAGAGGATAAGAGTAGATTAGTGCGATGTTGCCTGACGGGAAATCATCGTTCTTCCGCAAGAACAGCCCCTACAAGGAGCGCGGGCCCACCATGACGATACCCAACATCCCAAAAGTGACAGACGAGCGGGCCCGCATGAAACTGCTGTGCGACTACGAGAAGTATGAGCCGGAGCTGTTCAAGCACCACCTCGGCACCCCAGAGACAACGCGCACCATCGGCCTCAAACTCGTCCCCGTCGACTTCGACCGCCGCGTGCCGTCGCGCAATGAGCCTACCATCGCCGAGCGCGAGCTGGAGGCACGCAAGAGAAACAAAAACCAAAAGAAGTCATCCCTCACAGGCCCAGCGAGGAAGCGCATGGCGGATTCGCACAATGCCGCCGTACCAGAAGCGGCAGCAGTGGCAGCAACGAGAAGTGAGCATACCAACCGATTGAGCTCTGCGCGGGCGTCGTCGCACTCGCCAAACACGGCATCCGTGCCAGTGCCCGAGCACGTGCTGCCGCCCAGTGCGCGCAGAAACGGCTCGGCGCGCAGTGGGGAGTCGCTGACGACTTCATATTCACCAACTGATGCGTTGGCAGGAGAAAAGCCAAAGGAGGCAGCCTCGGGGCGAACGTCGCCGAGGCGAGTGCAACCGCGAACGCAGAGGTTAAGGCCACAAAAGCCGCAAAAGCTGCCACAAGATGCTGGGGGTGAAAAGGATTTGCTGGACACCAAGGTGGTGGAGAAGCTGCTGCATTCTGTGCCGCCTGCACTGCGAAAGGGTGACAACAGCCCCAGCATCCCGCAAGTGCCGCCTATTCGGAAACCAGAGGAAGTATTGAATGCGGAGCGCTGCGGCAACCTGCTCCGCGTTCTGCTCAACACCCCACCGGAATTCAGCGAGTCGTTCCACTTGGACCTGCGAAACATTGACCTTCGCTGGATGCGGGGCTCGCGCTACCCCGATGCTCTCGTGACACTGCAGACGTGGCGTGGTGCTGAGAAGAAGAATGACAGCATCCAATCGCTTAACTCCCCACGCTCCGTTATCGTACTGCTTCGTAACGGCATCGCGATGGAAGACTTGCTGCCGAGCGAAATCCGTGACGACGATCCACTGCTTCCAAAAGACCAGGAGACGAGGCGGCTGGTGAAGCAAATGCGCATGGAGCGTGACTTGCGGACCCGCGAGAGCCTGCTGCAGAAACTGCGTGACGAGTATGTGCCACTCTGCCGCGCCGTCAATCTGGCGGATGTGCTGAAGGCGTTCCGCTCCACTGAGAAGCGAGAGAACTCAGTGGAGCTGCCGACATCGATCAAGGTGGGGCACGAACGGCGGCAGCGCATCCTCGAGACATCGAAGAAGCAAATGGAGAAGCAGCTAGCCTTTGTGAAGAATGTCCACGAGCGCCAACTCGTTGCCGAGGAACGCCATCGAAAGGTAGAGGAGGAGGCACGGGCGAGAATTGAGCGGAAAAAGGAGGAGGAGCTCCTCGCTCGCCAGCGGGCAGCGGAGCGCCTCGCCACACAGCGGCAAAAGGCGGTGGAGATGGAGGCAGTCTACCAGAAGGAGCTGGAGGAGCGGCACGCACGTGCGGAAGAGAAGAACGCCAGGCGGATCGAGGCGCAGCAGCGGCTGATTGAGCAACGGCGTGCAGAGCGGATGAAGATGGCGGAAGAGCGTCAGCGGCGCTTCGAGCGCATCGCAGAGCTGCAGGAACAACAGAAACTACAGGTGCAGCGGAAGTACGAAGAGAAGGATGATAAACTGCAGCGCCTGCGCGAGGAACAGGAACGCAGGCGGGAAGATATGCACCAAAAGATGTTGGAGAAGGCAGCCAAGTCGGTGGAGTTGCGCGAGTTGGCCCGTCAGCGTGCCGCTCTGCACGAGGAGCGGGTTCGGCAGGCGGCGGCGGAGCAACAGCGGAAGGTTGAGGAGCGCCTTTTGCGGTTCCACCACGACACGGAGGAGGCACGTGCCAAGCGGGCCCAGCAGGAGGAAGTGAAGCGCGAACGCTTTAAGGAGATCATCAGCATCGCTGACCACAAACTCGCTACATTCAAGGAGGAAGTCTTGGAGAAGCAGATGCAGCATGAGAAGAACTTCATCGAGATACAGCGCCAGCGACAGGCGGAGCTCTTGGCGAAGCGTGAACGCGAACGTGAGGAGATGGAGGCAACCGCCTTCGCCGTGGTGCGGAATAAGCGCATGACGGAGTTTGAAAAGCTGGAGATGGTGCTTCGGCTTCTCTCCAAGCGGGACGCGGCGGTGTTCCTCGAGCGGCAGCGAGAATTACTCTTGCATGAGACGCACAAGAGCCGTGATGCCATGCTGGAGGAGAGAAACATGCTGAAAAAGCAGATATCACAGCAGACGGAGCTGCTGCATTGAGAGATGTACAGTCAGGACGAGCAGGGTAAGGGATGTGAGGCAGTGGGGCGAGGGCGCATCGCAGAAATGTACACAAGAAGGAGAGAGCAAAGGGAAAAAAAAACATATGAAAGCAACAGAAAAAAAAGTAATAGGAAAGCCGCGTCAAGGGCAGACACACACACAAACAGAAAAAAAAGAAAAGACGTAAAGCGAGAAATAGAAAAGAAAAAAGAGGTTCTGTTTACTTTTTCCACGTTGTCTTTCTTTATTGTTGCGCTTTGTTGCTGTTGACATTTGTGAGGAGTATATGAGGCTTTGTCTGCGTGGGAGGGTTGCCGGGAGCCGTTCGAACGGAATGTTCCTGACTTCCTATTTTGTCTTGCGAACATAATTGACATTTTCCTCCGCCTTATACGTCTACGCACAGGCTGACGCCAAGGGGTAGGACTTGAGGGGGGAAAGGAGTACACATACATACACACAGTTGGTGTAAAGGGTGGGGGCGCGCCTGAATATATATATATATATATATAAGTAGCCAGGCCCCTAGTCATGGATGCGCAGACGTGTGCAGAGATGGTGAGCGCCATGACGGCGGCGTCTTCGCCACTCGCGCGGGCTGTTTTTCTTACAATGGCCGCAATACAGGACGAGGCGTGGACATGTTGCCACGGCGACGGCTCTCCAGCAGGGACGCTGTGTGCAGTGGAGGGATGGAGGGCGCTGCGGGCAAGCACGACTCTACCGGCAACGGTGGAGGTGCACTACCAGGTGGGTGGCGCGTGTGACAACATCGTGAAGGTCAAGTGGGTTCCCATGGACGATACCCACATGATGGTGATCGCGCAGAGCAGAGATGGCAGCACATCACGCCAACCCGTAGGCGTGCCACTCTGCACAGAGGAGGAGCCGCTCGCGTCCGTCATGCATGGTAAGACGGAGTGGAACGCGGAGACGCTGGCCGCGGCGACAAGGCGGCTGCGACCGTCACTCCATGATGCCTTCGGCATTGCTCAGTGCGTTGGCACAAAAGGAACTGTTTCTGCCGCGCAACCACCGCAAGAACAACAAGAGCCGACAAACAGACCTTTCGAGTGTGGCCCCGACAGACCGCACGGCAGTGCACCACCTGCCGCCCAGTCTCTCTTCGATGGCGTGGCGCCGCGGCCGCCCGGCTACCGCTACGGTGAGGGCGATTTGGTGCCAGGCGGCAGCCTCGCACCAGGAAGTGGCATGATGCTCAACACCCAGGCGTTTCGCACCGGCACACTCCCGCAGGCTCGCTACGACCCTATGTTCCCCGGTGATGTGCGCGGCGGCAGGATGTGGGGGCCGGGCGCTGGCCGCACATTTCCTGGTGAGCCAGATCCCGACCTTTTCACGCCGCCAGGTGGCCCGGCGTTTGGATCCGCCTTTGGCCCCGGAATGGGCCGGGGTGGTGGTGGCGGTGGTATGCCGCCGTTTCTGCAGTGACAACGTTATATATATATATATATATATATTTGTTTTTCTTTTTTGCTCGTTTGCTCTCGACTTGCAATCTGCTGCTGGGTGCAGTGTCAGCACACGCTCTGCTTGACACAGGAGTGTATGTGGGTGTGTGGCCTGAGAAGAGGTGAGCGCATTGGGGCAATGTGGTGTGTTTTGAGCGCACCTGCTGCCTTTTTTAAATTATTTTGACCATGCCTTTCTATATTTTCTCTCCTCTGCACGCAGGTGTGCGTGCATTTCTTTTCGTTGGTGGCGCGTTGTTGTTGCGTTTTTGTTTGTTTTTGACTGTCTGCTTCGTCGTCTTGACGTGCAGCTAGCGGAATGGTATCGTACAAGGAGGGCGTGACCCACGACGGCCGCAAACGCGCCCCGCGGCTGCTGTTCGGTGTGACATACATCAAGCCATTCCCGTGGATCCGCGTCGCGCTCGGGCTGGGCGCCATGTCGCTTGTGGTGTGGCAGCAGTACCAGGCGCGGCACACGGTGCCGACGAAGGAGCAGTTCCTGCGCAAGATTGTGGTGGCGCCGTACGGCGTGCTGGGGATGCAGATGTCGCTGCAGGGCGGGATGGTGCGCGCCGGCGGTGAGCCCGACGACAGCGTCGTCGTCGTTGACGCGGCGGACCTGCGCCACATCTTCACCACCGCCGACGGCGCGTCAGGGGCGTCGGGGGCGATCTACAAGTGGCTCGGGCTGCGCGGGCAGTTCCCCGACGAGCTCGTGCGTGCCATCTCGCGCGTGTGCGACGCCAAGTGGTTTAAGTACGGCGACAAGAACGTTATCCACGTAATTGGTCCGGACTTCCGCGAGGGGACGTGGTCGGAGCGGGAGGCGGCTCTCGAGCTGTCGCGCGCCTACCGCAACGCGCTGCACGAGTTCGCCATTAGCGATGGCGACGTGCTGCGTATGGCACCCATCTCCACTGGTGTGCAGGCGGGGCCGCTCTACAATCAGCTGCCGCCCATCACCGGCTCCGCACTTGCGATGGCGTTTGAGCAGCTGCACGTGTTTGATCGTGAGTACCTGCTGCGGCGCGACAAGAAAATCGAGCTGTGTGTATTCATGAATAGGGAATGGGATATGTATCAGACTGTCTTCAAGAACCACCAGCAACTGTTGAAGCTGTAGGTTGACATTGGCCAAGACGCGTACTGTGTGAGAGCATGAGAGGCGGAGTGGATAAGAAGACGAGGGGGGCGGGTGTGCAATGCCGTTTTGGTGCCTTTTACATTATCTTTTTATAGCGACCTTGCCTTCTGGGAGTGCATGTGCATGTGTCTGCCTTTGTGTGGCGGATGCCTGCTGTTCTCTCTACCCACTGTGTGTGTGTGTGTGTGTGTGTGTGTGTGCGATGCTTTGCATAGCGGCGTCTGGTCTGTTTTGGGGGTTTCTTTGGTATTCCTTCGTTGCTTTCAAGCCTTATCGCACGCGCAGGGACGGTGGGTTGTGTCGTCCTTGCTTTCTTTTCCTCTTCGTCCCCACGGAAGCAACAAACACGCGTGCAGACGGCAGGGGGAGGGGGGAACAAGAAAAGAAAACGGAGGAACAGAAAAAGAAATAAAGAACGTACCGGCAGCAGCAGCAGCAGCAGCAGCTGTGATTTGTAGTCGTAGCTGTAATAATAATAGAAGTGGTTATAGGTTTAGTTGCTGCAGTGTGGCCGCAGGAATGCTTCGAAGGCGGCTGATGCACGGCGGCCAGCTCGCCACGCCCTGTGCGGTGTATGGAGCCGCGCGACGTGACCTCAAGACACTTGACGTCCGCGAGTATCGCCCACTCGCCACGCCGGTGGAGTTCCGCTTCTATCAGCGCTACGCCAACCACCCCAACCGGCAGTCCGGCATCCAGTTTCTCACGCACTACAACACTCACCAGCGGTTCCGCGTGAATAAGGACTTCATCGACTACATGCACTGGGGCAAGGAGCAGGGACAGGCGCGACTGCCGCACCGCCACCAACGCGTCGCCTTTGACTTTGACGACACGCTGCCCCCCACACGCGCCGACGCCGACGTGTCGCAGGCGTGGCTCGCCGGGCAGGACCCGTCACTCGGCTCGCACCCCGACGTTGACGCCGCGTTTGACCCGAACCGCCGCGTCTTTTCGCACCCGGAGCACTGGAACAAGATGTTTAGCAAGCGTCGCCCGGGAGAGGGCAACATCGACCTGCGCGTGCTGCCGTCGCAAAGTCTGCTCGGTCCGCTTATGTCACACTCTGATACACACGGCGGCGCGTACTTCGCAGTGGACAACCGCGGCCACAGCAGCGGCAGAGTGCCGGGCCTAAACGCCCCATTCTTAGGCGAGTTTGATCGCAAGATGATGCAGGCCATGTCAAGGCCGCTCAACAAGGACCGCAGCATTACCGGCAACGATGGGCGCTTCTCCAAGACAATTATGATTAATGAGTCTAGGACGAATCAGGCCCTAAGTGCAAAGACGGCGCGCGAGTTGTGTGTTGAGATTGACAAGGCAACAAACGCCGTCTACTCAAAACTGACTGTGTTGGAGGCGGCGCAGTCGGGGCTCTCCAACTATTTCTGCAGTGGTCTTAACTACGAGATGCTCGGATTCGACCTGCAGATGGCGGCGATGCTGCGCGAGCGGGCGCGTGCTGTTCTCAACAACGTCTCAGCGAAAACAATAACATCATCATCATCATCATCATCATCATCATCAACACCAGCAGCAGCAGCAGCAGCTTCTTTGGCCGCCTCTGCCTTGACAAAGGCACAGGAGCGGGAGGTTGAGCAGCTGCTCCGTGATGCGTCGCGGTATGAAGACCGTGTTGACGACGCCCTTCGTCAACACGCGTCGCTCATATGGGGTGTGTACATCGCCCCACGCCCGCTCATGACGCTGACCAACGGCAAATGCCGCGGCACCGGTTGCGGCGTCTCACTCTACGCAAAGTACTGCGCACTAAAAGACTCCTCAGAGTTCGTCTTTGACGGCCCCAACGTTGGAATCACGCCATACGGTGGCCTCACCCGTCTACTTGCGCGCCCCGAGACGTCGCTGAAGTTCCCTGGTCTCGCAGAGTTTCTGATGCTGACGGGTACCTCCATCTTCGCTGGTGACGTCCTTCGGCTGGGCTGGAGCGACCTCTTCACGAGCCTGCCGGACATGAGCTACCACATCAAGGAATGGTTTGACACGACGGAGCACATGCACAACGATGCGGTGGCGTGGCAGCTGGGTCACCTGCTAGAGACATGCTTCAAGATGCGAGAAGCGCATTCGTCGGCGATGGAGCGCGTTGCCATTACACCGACACGAGCACGCTGGATTGAAGAGGTCTTCGCCGACCAGCCGTCCGTCACGCATATCCTCGACACACTCAGCGAGGTGGAGCGCATGTCTATCAGCGCACCCCATAACACATGCGACCAGGTGTGCTGCACTCCATTCACGCTCGACGGTGTCGCCGCGGGCGTGAGCAAGCTAGGGGAGCATCGGCTGCGCTACACCCTGTCACCGTGGGACATCAGGCCACCAGAGGACGAGGTGTCTCTGCAACACACGTCGGAGATATTCAACGCGTACGTCTTGGAGCGCCGTGGAACGCTGGATGTCATTGTCCACCGCGACACGGAGCGGCTAGCAGCGTGGCATCGGCAGCGGGAGCAGGAGTATCATGCCTACAGCAGTCTCAAGTCTGCACCGCACCCGCGCCATGTGTATGCCCGCTTAGAGGGATGCGAGGGGAAACTGGTCTCCTTTGACTTCACATTTACGTTCGAGCCGAAACAAAGAGACAAAAACACCACCGATGGTAGCAGCATCAGTAGAGGTAACAAGAATAACCAGAAGGACGACGACATGGTACGCACCGCCACACTTGATGAACTTAAGCAGCAGGTGTTGACTGCCCTCGACATGCCCACCAATCGCGACGTTGAAGTGGGTTGGTACTTGCCAACACTCGACACGTGCCCTATTTACAGCGATGAGGACCTTATGCAGGTGCTGCACTCGGACCCTGGCATCGAGGACCCACAGGCGCAACTAAAGTATCCTCCTATTTACTTTATCGTAAAGCGCAACACGCTATACTTCTCTGAGTGGGCGTATGCGGTGAAGCACCAGTTGCTGCTGCAATCGCCTCTCGCATTGCGGGCGGCGTACGAGCTGCTGCAAGAGGTGCGCGGCGACGGTGCAGCCGAGAACATCAAGTCGCTGGCAGAGGCACTGGCGGTAGAGTTTAAGTACGTCTCGCGTCTGCTCCGCCGCCCTGACTTTTACCGCGTCGGTGTGCACACCGAAAANTCAGCGGAGGAGTGGGATGAAATCCGTGCGGAGCGGCGGCACAACTTGCACAAGGTACATCACCCAACGCGCCCACTGCCTGACTTCGAGGATGTCTTTGAGCGAGATGTGGTGCTCGATGGGCACAAATTCCTGCTGCGCCCGCGCTGGAGCCCGCGCACGCTGCAGGACGTGGCTCACGAAGACGTGCTGCGGCTGCGTGCCCCCCTGGCGTACGACAGCGACGGCACCGTGCCGTTGCACGTCGCGGCGCACTACAGCAAGGCGGCGCGCCTCACTGGTATGGTGGAGGATGCCGGCGGGGTGGAGATGGTGTGTGGGCTCGGCGAGTGTGACACGAGCGGCGCCCCGCTGGCGCCGCCACTGCAGTCCAACGCTCATGTGCCAACGAACGTCAACTTCTATGAGATGGCGCGCCACCCATGGGACGATACGGCGTCGTCGTGGCGCCGCGATGGCTACACGGAGGGATCGTTGGCGCACTACGAGGCACAGTACCGCGCGGCTGAGCGCGCAGTCTACGACGAGGAGGGCCGCGGCGCACATAACTACTGGCCGTCGCGCGAGGCTGCCGACGGCATCACTGGCGAGGACGAGGACGTGGCGTTGCTCCAGGAACGCCTCTTTGCCCCACTGGAGCAGGCGGGTGCAGGGGTGGAGCCGTGGGCGCAGCAGCTGCGCCGCAACGCACGTGATGGGAAGCTCGGATATAAGGCGGAGATTGCTACGCAGGAGGAGAAGATATACGATGACGAATACTACCGCTGGTTCATTCAGCCTGGCCGTCACCCGAATCCGAGCGGCCTTACTACTGGCCGCAAGAAGGCCACAGCGCAGAGTACAGGCGATGACGCGGAGCTCGAGCGCATCTGGCGCAGTGTTGCTGCTGGCGAGGACGAAACAACGGTATCAGCCGCAACAGCTGAGGAAGGGGGAATATTAGGTGGCGAAGATGTAGAGGAGGAGGCCGCTATGACGGGCGAGGGTGAAAGCAGCTGACACTGTGTAGTGGAGCGTCCGAGTGGGAAGGAATGACGCAATTGAGGGAATGGAGTGAGGGGAGAGGGGATTGCCCATGCATACAAGCAAGCAAGCAATGACCAAAACAACAACAACAACAACAACAACAACAAAAAGAAAGGTGAGTTGGGAGGGGAGGGGAGGGGGCGAGAGACATGGTGAAGGGGAGACTGCAACTGTGAAGAAACAGAAGCGAAGTAATATGATAGCAGCGTGTTTTTGTATAAACATTTGTGTGTGGTCTGTGCGCATGTGTGCACCTTTTTTCTTTCTTACTTACTTGTTCCTTGTTGGTGTTGTTGCTGCCTCAACGCGGTGAACACAGGTGTAGAGCAAAGGCGAAGAGAAAAAAATGGTGGCAGTTCGCGCTAAGGTCGGCTCCCGCGGCTTTGTTCGCCAGAGACAGCTGCCGAAGGGGAAGAGGGTGTTCAAGATTGACTGCACCATCCCCGCCAACGACGGCATCTTCAGCGAGGAGATCCTCAGCAACTTCGAGCAGTACTTCCAGGACAACGTGAAGCTGAACGGACGCAAGGGGAAGCTGACGGAGAAGGTGCGCATCAGCCTTCGCGACAACGTGCTCGCGATCGCGACGACGATGGCGTACAGCAAGAGGTACTTCAAGTACCTCACGAAGAAGTTCCTCAAGAAGAAGGACCTCCGCGACTGGATCCGCATCCTCGCCAAGGGCAAGGACATGTACCAGCTCAAGTACTTCAACATCCAGGACCAGGAGGAGGCGTAAGGTGGTGGGGGCAGCAGCAGCAAGGAGTCTGTAATTGGAGCTCGTGTTGCACCTTCTTCAGCTTCTTGCTGTTTTTTGTCCTTCTTTCCCGTTTCTCTTTTGATTCCTTTTTCTTTTGCTTTCACAAACCCTACAAAAAACAAAAACAAAAGAAAACTGATGAAGCACACCTGAGTGCTTCATCCCCCCTCTCACGCTGCTGAGAAAGGTGGGGAGGGGGAATGTCATACATTGAAAACGCAATGCTGTGTGTATTGTTTCTCTTTCTCTCTCTTTCTCTCTCTTTCTCTCTCCATCTTTTTTGCCTTCGGCTTGTTATCTGGCATTCCTTCACGCAGCTCTTTCCACGCTGAATGGNCGCTGCTGAGAAAGGTGGGGAGGGGGAATGTCATACATTGAAAACGCAATGCTGTGTGTATTGTTTCTCTTTCTCTCTCTTTCTCTCTCCATCTTTTTTGCCTTCGGCTTGTTATCTGGCATTCCTTCACGCAGCTCTTTCCACGCTGAATGGTGAAGTACGTGTGGGGTTCCGAATCTGTCGCACCGCCGGAGGCGCCGGTGTTACCCATCGACGCAGAGGTGGACACTGGGTGCGAGGAGGTGCTCCTCATCAATACGCGCAGCTACGCCCTCTTCGACGGCGATGAGCCGAAAGCTGGGGAACCAACCCGCAACTTCCTTGACATCCTAAAGGAGAATGAGGACCTGCAAAAGACTGGCGTCCCGCGGTACCACGTGGTTGAGCTTGACACGCTGAAGCACTCGGCGGGGCAGGAGCACACCGACTGGATTAAGCTCGCGCACCTTGTCCGAGATAATTACCACAAGTACCGCGGATTTGTGGTGCACAACGGCACCGACAACATGGTGGCTACTGCGACGGCCCTGAGCTTTATGCTGGAGAACTTGGGGAAGCCTGTCGTCTTCACTGGCGCTCGCATCCCGTCGGAACGCCTCTACACGGATCTCAAGCGCAACTTGATTCTCGCCCTTCTTTTCGCGAACTGCAGCATGATCAGCGAGGTGTGCATCTTGTTTGATGAGCGGCTCTTCCGTGCGAATCGCACAATTAAGATTTCCCGATCTTCGCTGGCGCCGTTTGACTCACCGCACTTCCCGCCCTTGGCGACGATGGACGTTGCGATGAATCTGCATCGTCCATTTCTTCGCCTGCACCCACGTGGTCGTTTCCGAGTGATGGATAACATGGACGCCGCCGTTTTGTGCCTGAAGCTTGGCCCAGCGATGCGGAGGCGGGTCTTCTTAAGAGCCGTCCAGCTGACGGAAGCGCGTGCGATGATCATTATCGCATACGGTGGTGGAAATGGCCCAACACGTGGGGATTTCATGCGGAATGTTATCCGTACCGCCGTTGCCCGCGACATTGTTGTTGTGGTGTGCACGCAAAACTTGTATGGCTCGGTAGACCTAGGAGCATATGAAGCGGGGGAGCAGTTGCTAAAGGCGGGGGCGATTAGCGCGCGTGATATGACCATTGAGGCAACCATTATGAAGTTGAAGTATCTGCTCGGTGTTGGCCTTTCTTCCAAGGAGATTAAAAAGATATTTTCAGATGTTAACCTCCGTGGTGAGCTTTCGCCGAAGCCAGCTAATTTGTGAAGCGTGCTGCTCTGGAGATGCAATTTGGGGAGGGGGAGCTTCGAGGGTGAATACCTCTCTCTGTTTTTGTGTTTCATTCGGCGCATGTGATCATCAAAAGAAAACGGACGGGCCATTTTCCTTTTTGCACGATTCATGCACCCTACGTCTTCAGAATTTTTTTTTTGTTTGCACTGTTGCCGAAAGGAGTCGTCCAGGCCGTTACCCTAACTTCAGAGGACGGCGTTCGTCATGGTGTGTCTGTTAACTCTCGTTGTTTCTCTGTGTATGCTTGCATGTAGATATACATGCATTGCTGTGTGTAGCGATTTCTGTGGCTTTGCAAATCGATTGCGCTCCCTTCTCTCCCCTTTGTTTGTTTTTCTTCTTTTTTTTTTTTTGGCTCCTCTCCCACATGGAAAAAGCAATAGCTTGGCAGGGTGTATTACCTAACGACTGCGTGAGGGTTGACCACGAAAGAAAGGGAAAAACTGAAAACGGCAGCAACAACAAGAAAGAAGTGGAACAATATGAACGGCACCGTTCTCACCTGCACAGTGTGTGGGGCGTTCAACATGTTCCCCATAGCCCACGCCAACATGCAGGAGAGAGGGAGCATGACGACGTTCTGCAACACGTGCGGCACCGTGACGCTGCAGCGGGTGAGCGGGCCGTCTAACCAGGGTGATCTCCCAAATGACTCCACACATGTACCGACCGCACCAACGCAAAGCAGCGTGGACCCGTATCGAAGAACACCAGTACCTGACACGAGCGAGCAGTTGTTGTGGAGGCGTCTGCAGGATGCACTGACGAATAACAATGTCGCTATGACAGAGTTCTTCCGATGCGACGTACCCACCAAGACGCGTCTCATCACTGCGATGGGATTCTCCAGTATAGAGTTGCCGAAGTTGTTAAAGCTTTCAGAGGCCAATGACCTGCGCAAGATATTGGGCAGCACAGCGGGACAGGTGCAGCCGCAAGAAAACTCAGCGGAGGGCAAATCGCCTGCCCTCGGGCCCTCCGCGGTGGAGCGGAACGGCAAGACGGCGGGAACGCCGCTGAATACTGCGCGCGACGCTGATGTGATTGTTGAGACGCCAAATCGCACGACATGCGCCGAGGGCTCAGTGCCCGGGATGACGGTGCAAGATGACGGTAGAATCCTTGCGCGGTGCTCAGTGTACCCGCATCTTCCCGCTGAGTTTTGGTGCTCACTTTGTGGTGCGTTGGTGTCGAGTCGCTGTCACGTGTCGGGTATTCACAAGGATCATCCATTCATCACCCTTCGGCAAGCAGCAGAGGCGCATGTGCGTGACCTCAAATCATGGGCAGAACGATGCCGTTCTCAGCTGAACGTCGCATCTAGCATTGTGGCAAACCTGCAGCACGGGAAAGAAGTTATCACCGGGTCTGTGAAGCACCAAGAGGAAGAGTTGGACAGACACTATGAGGAAATTGTAAGGGGGCTTGCTCAGTGGCGTGACGAGTTGAAGTCTAGCATGCGGCTCCAGGTTAGTGCACAGCTGAATAATATCGACGCCGCAGTGGAGAGGACAAATGCATTTATAGAGTACTATACAGAACGACAGAATAGTTGTGACCCTCTACTGCATACCATACCGCCCGTACATCAAGTCAACAAGCAATCAGAGGACTGGTCCCTCCGTGTGATGGGCCTTGTGAGTCATCTCAAGACGGTGAACCAGGAGCCAATTCCTATGCCGCGCCTCACGATACCAGAAGTGAAACCCTCCGCTACTGTGGCAACCTACATGGACCTCCTGAAGGCGGTGAGTGTTCCTGCTGGCATTCGCGTCCCGGACGTTCTTGACACTGGATACCTTAATTTCCCTAACCCCTCTGATGTAGGTCGTGACGCCTTCACACTACAGCCGCCCGAGGACGCCAAAGCGCGTGGCATTCTCATTTACAGCGGACGCACGTTAACAAGATCACAGAACATCACACCCACGCACATGCTTGTATGTGCCTCGCAGATCTTTTACACCGGCATCACGGCGTGGGAAGTGCACATAGACCGCCTTGGCGTTGGCCCTGGCCGTATTCTTGCTGGCGTGCTGATGGCCGGAACTGACGGTGAGGGTGTTGTGTGGGATGGGCGCCGCATCGTTGGCCCCAACGAGGGCGAGTGCCGTGCGCTGCCTGACCGCTACGCACTTCAGACCGGCACAACGCTGCGCTTCGTCCTCGAGCTCGAGGCACCGTCATACTTCCTCATTTGCTACCATGAGGACGACGTCGTGGCGCGCGTGCCGCTTCCGCCGGCGCTAAGTGGCTGGATCCCTGCCTTTAGTGTCTTTGGCCCTCAGGACCAGGTGACGGTGGTGCCGACGTCGTCCACGGCTGCAGAACACCTGCTCTTCAACGCCGTGCCGGCGGCAAAGGGCAAGCGAGCAGAGGAGGAGAAAGAGGAAGAGGCGAAGGTTCGCCTCATCGAGCAGGAGCAGAAGCTTAACGCCCTGCAACAACAATTGCTTGCTGTGAACTCGCGAATTGACCAGGAACAGTATGAAAGGCTCATAAACAATCCTACCGACCAGCGAGGTATTATGAGGGAGAAGGCCAATGGCGATAGTATAGCGGCAGCTCAGTCGCCGCATTCTTTTCGAGAGGCGATTCCGCATTTGTCACCCAATGAAGATCGCTTTGAGGTGCATACACCGTTCGATATTGCACGTGATACGAAGGCGCCACCACGGCCGCTGGCGTCGTCGATATTGAGTGGGGCACCACCCGTACCGCGCGGTCAGAATGACCTCCAGCGCGAGAGCTACAGCCCTGAGCTGCGGAATCTCCTCAGTTTTGTTGACTCCATCAAGTAGCGAATGGCATAAGAAATGGAGGAGGTGAAACGGAAGGAGGGAAGGGGAGAGAAATCTCCCTTTTATCATTTCATTTCCGCCCCATTCCACTCCTCGTACCCCTCGCAGTGACATTACATGCGGTGAGATGGGGGAGTGCGAGAAAGAGAGAGAGAGAGAGAGAAAGAGAGAGCGAGCAAAAAATCAAACATCAACCACAACAACAAAAACAGGGAATACGAAATGAAGGTTAACAGCTCAGTCCACGGCTGCGTAGTTGCGTGAATTTCTGTTCTTAGTATCGCTTACTGGGCGATTCCCGTTATCGCCCTCAGTTGACTTTCTTTTGTTGGTGTGTGTTCTCGTCGTTTCCGTCATTGCACCTTGAGCGACGGCAGCGCATCTGCGGGGTTTAGCGAGGCGCAACGATGTCTGTGTTCCCCTTTTTTTGTTGTGCCTTTTGTTTGTCCCTTTTCCTCAGCTCCTTTTACTTTTCTACGGGGGCTCTTTTCCAATTTTTTCTTTTGTTGTTGTTCTTCTTCTTTTCGACCCGGCGCAAGTTGTGTGGAGCTTGTGGGGCAACCCCCGCCAATTTGCAAGACAGAGGCGCGACGAGGGGGTCTTCGTATAGCGAACAAGAGTATTCAGATACAACATAAAAAGGAAAAAAAAAAAGAAGGGAAAAGAAAACAAAAACAATAGTAACGAAGGAATTGGCACGACATGGGAGGTAAAAATAGCAAGTCTGCTGATGCAAACGCAGCAGAGGTGGCAGCCACACCGTCAAAGCCGACGCCAAACGGCGACAGAGACGAAGAGTTGCGCCGCTACCGTGAGTTTCGTGACCAACTGCTGAGCTTCTCACTGGGCAGCAGCGCGTTCGATTATGCAGAGTCGCTCTTCGCCAAGAACCCCGACAACCCGGAGGTGATGGCGCTATTGGCAGAGACCACTGTCCTTTACGACAAGAACAAGAATAAGGTTGCCAGAGATCACTGGTGCGACCGCCTAGATCTCCTGCAGCGCGGCGTAGATGTGAGTCGCAAGTGCATCAATGAAAACCCGGAATACGGCCCATGTTACCGGGCATACGTGCTGTGTGCGACGCGTGAAGCGGAGGCACTGTACTACATGAAGAGTCTGCTGGGCCTTGGGCTGGTGGAGAATTACAATGCCATTATGCGGCGCGGGGAGAAGGGCATGGAGCTGCTCCCCACCGACGCCGACATCCCCAACGCCCTCGGAGCCCTTTGTGGTCGCTGCGCCTACAAGTGGTACAGCCCTACGCGGCCATACGCCTGGTGGTGCGGTGTACCATCGTGGGATGCGATCTGGGCAAAGAGCATTGAGCTGCACAAGAAGGCGGTGAAGAATGAGCCGACCAACTTGGAGTACGCGTGCCGGCTTGCGCAGGCGTATTTTCAGAGCGGGGACTTCCAGAATGCACGCCGTTGGTATGGCAAGGTGCGCGACGAGATGCCGCCAGAGGAGATGAAGGATGAACGTTGGCAGGCAGTGGCCCACACGCAGCTCTCCACTGCCTTCACGAAGGGGAGCTGGAACGTTCCCTTTGCGTAGGAGCACGGCTGCGCCGGCCCATATATCTATTTTTTTTTCCCCTAGTTGAAGCTCCATCGGCGCCTTGTCACACAAACACCCAAACACGCCATCGTATATATACATGCATTTTTTTTCCTGCAAGTTGCTCTCCACCCGACACGATGAGTTTGCTTATTTATTCTTTTCTTTTGCATTTGATTTCTTTGCTTTTACTGTTGCTATTATCATTATTATTTCGTACTAATGATAATACTACTATTTCTACAAGTAGTGTCCTTGGGAAGAGAAGATGTTGCGTCGCTTTGTCGTCCGGGGGATGTACCGTTCACGACTTTCCGCCTATGGAAAGATAACGGTCGCCGCCGCCATCAGACATGCCGCTACTGTATGCAGCAACAGCAGTGCGAGCCTTAGCAACAACGGCACCACAGCAGCGGCAGCAGTCGCGGAGGTTGGCGAGGTGCCGACGCTAAGCTTTCTCGCCTCCAAGACCGTTCTGGCCGAGACGGTGGATCGCACCATTGAGGTTTGCGACGCACTTCTTGGCGAGATACCAAAGGCAAAGAATGCAAAGGAAAAACACGACCTCATTGATTCCACAAGCAACGTGTTGTGCCTCCTCTTAGATCCGTGTGAGTTCGTCCGGCAAATCCACCCGGATGAAGAATACAAAAAGTATGCGGCGTACGCCTTCCAGAAGGGATATGAGTATATGAGCAAGGTAAACTCTCGTCGTGACTTGTACGATGTCATTGTCGAGCTAGACGGTTCTGAGGGGCGCAAACAACTCGATGATGAGGAAATTAAAAACGTGGTGCAGTTGAAGCGTGACATGGAAAGCAATGGCATTCATCTGCCGGATGCACTACGTGAGAAGGTGACGGAGATGAATATTGAGAAGGAGGAGTTGGCGATGCGGTTCCTGACGGAGCAAGGGTCGAAAAATCCCTTCGCCACTCTACGCTACCTTCTTCGCTGCCGTCACGAGCTGGCACAACTGCTTGGATTTGAAAGCTACGCGGAACAGCAACTCCGTGGGACGATGCTGGAGAACCAGCAACGTGTCTGGCACTTCCTCTGTGGCATCGCCAATAAGTACCGCCCCGCTGCAGAGAAGGAGTTGGACGTAATTCGGCAAAATGTCGGAGAGGTGCGTAATCGGCAGAACATCACAGACGATGTTCGTGCCCGCGTAGCTCACTCGCTGCGGCGCGATGCTGAGCCTGAACGGGTGGCAGAGTATTTCTCCGTGGCGAACTCTATCCGCGGCATCCAGTGCCTCTGCACGGAGGTGTTTGGGGTGCGGCTTGAGGAGGTGCCATTCAGTAAGGAGGAGATTTTTAACGCAGACGCCAAGAAGTTCCACGTGTACGACGAGCACCGCGCATTCCTCGGGGTCATCGTGCTGGACATGTACGTCAACGAGATGAAGTACTGCCAGGCGGGGCACCTAACGTTGCAGCTCGGCTGCCAGCCGCACCAGGCAGCCCTCGCGAAGGTGGGCCTGCAGCTGCCGCAGCGGCAGTACCCCGTCGTGGTGTTGACATGCAACGTGGGCGCCATCACGCCCGCACAGCGCCGCGCCGATGGCAGATTTGACGACGAATCGACGCTCATGCAGCCGAGCGAGGTGACCACCGTCTTCCATGAGTTTGGCCACGCGATGCACACCATCTTTGGCCAGACGAAGGTGCAGAACCTCGCGGGAACACGCGCCAGCATTGATTTTGTGGAGACTTTCTCGCAGCTCTTCGAACAGTTCCTCACCTCGCATGAGTTTCTACGGTTGTGGGCGCACCGCATCAACACGCGTGAGCCTATATCGTTTGACATGGTCATGAAGCGCAATGCGGCTGCCGATATGTTCAAGCACCTCGACATGCTAGATCAAGTGGTGCTTTCGGCTGTGGATCAGACACTCCACGGGCCACAGCCGTACACAGTATACTTCCCGCATGGCGATAAGGGGCACCTTGGCAAGCGCACACTCGGCGACAACTCCGACTACGGTCGCGGAACGTATAACTTGGCGAAAATTCTCATCGACGTGTGTACGCCATTGTCAGTCGTGACGCCTACGGAGAGCGGTGTCCTTGGCACGCTGTCGTTCGAGCACCTCTCCGGCTACCCTGCTGGCTACTACGGCTATCTCTACAGTCTTTCTGTGGCGCGGCGCATCTGGGCTAAGAAGTTCGAGAAGGACCCGCTGAATCGAGACGCAGGGCGGGAGTTGGTGCAGAAGGTCATGAAATACGGCGCTGCATGCAACCCTGTGGAGGTGATTGAGAAGTACTTGGGTGACGACCTGGATGAGATTGACATCTGGGCATAAGGCCTAGACAAGGTGTGAAAAGAAGGCGTGAGAAGAATGAGTGGTATGCTCCTCCTATATTTGCTCTTTTTGTTTTGTTTTTTTCTGCAGCAATGAAATAACTGAAGGGATTGCACCATTTATTAATCTCCACACGCCAAACCTATGCATTGCCCCTGGGTGAGAGGTCGGGTCGTCTCCACCGTCTCCATTCACCTTCACTTATTCCTTCATTTATGTTCATGTCCCTTTTTGTTTTTGTTTTTGTTTTTGTTTTTCTTGTCGCGAACAATGAGGATTTGCTAAGGTAGTCGCGTATTGGCTTATTGCGTGCGTTGAGAGAATGATGCGCCGCTCTTTTCTCTCACTGGCAACCGCAGCTGCTTCCGCCGCAGGTGCTGGTGCTGCTGCTGCTGCTCCCGCGAACACCAAGATGAACACCCTTTATAAGATTCTTATTGGTGAGTCACACTTCAAGAACAGGGCCCCCGTAAAGGAGTGCAATATCGTGCATCAGTTCGGTGAGAACTGGGCGACGGAGCTGGAGGCGTACGCCAAGACAGTCCCAGCTGAGCAGAACAAAATGATCGAGCGGCAGATTGCGCGAGTGAAGCTTACACGCTACACTGTCACTGAGCTTGCCCAATACTGTGGCGACGGCCCCGAGCACCTCGACGCGGTAGCTCGGGAGGCGAACATTGACCAGGGTGTCGCCTTCATCAAGGAGAAGGGTGTGGAGGAGTTCGATAAGTATGTGGCCCGTGAGGCGGTGAACGCGAATTGGAAACCAGAGGATGTGAAGAAGTTTACTGAAGCTGTCAAGCTCAAGGCAAAGTAGGCACACACGAGCGAAGGATAAGTGAGGGGTGTGGGAAAAAGGAGGGGGTGTTAGCAGAGTGACGGCAGTACAGGTGCGACCATCTCTCTGTCTCTCTGCGTCTCTGTCTGTCTGTCAGTCAGTCAGTCAGTCAGTTTGTGTGTCTGCGTGTGTGTGTGTGTGTGTGTGTTTGTACGTAGTGAATGGGGCGGGAAGAAAGAGAGAAAGAGAAAACAGGGGGCATGCGCGGGAATGCCGCTGCGTAGGTTAATGCACCCTCACTCTTTCACTCACTACCACCCCATAGGTGTAGGGAAGAGAAAGAAGGAAAAGAATACGTATCCCAATTAGGCGGATGGAACGAGGAGCCAACACCGGGGGATGGTTTGGCCCTGTGGAAGCGAGTGCAGATTATCTGTTGCTCATTGCTTCTCTTCTGGCTTTCTCCTCTTTGTTTTCTGTTTTTTTTTTTCTTTCCTTTTTCCCCCTTCTCAGTTGGCCTCCCGCATTTTCCACTCTCACACACACAAGAAAGACGCAAGGATCACCGACGATACGCAAATGTCCCCCAAGCGACCACTCTACAGTGTGCTCGGCGTGGCACCCGACGCCGCCGAGAACGATATTAGCCGCGCGTATCGGCGGCTGGCGCTGCAGCACCACCCAGACCGCAACCCTAGCGGGGAGGCGAAGTTCAAGGAGATTGCGAATGCTTACAGCATCCTCGGTGACCCGGAGCGGCGCCGCCTGTACGATGTGACTGGAGTTGTGCCCGGTGCTGAGGCCGAGGCGGACAGCGAAGCCACGATGGCGCAGCGCTCCGCGGAGATGAAGGAGCGTGTTCAGATGTTCTACTCCACATACGCGGGTTCGCCGGAGGAAACTGAGGATGTCATCTCGCGCTACAACAGGTGCAAAGGCAACTTTCGTCGCATGGTACGGGAGGAGCTGCTCTTCGACAACACCAAGAAGGATGAGATCAGGCGGCTGCAGGACCTCGTGCAGGACCTCGTGGAGTCGGGGCGGCTGAAGCCCACCGAAGCGTGGAAAGTGACGAACTCGCCAGGGGCGCTCAAGCAGATCGAGCGTGCCATGATGAAGGAGCGTAAACAGGCCGCCGATGCGCTTGACGCCATGGGTCTCGCTGGTGAGACGAAGGGCGCTGACCTCCAGACGCTGATGAAGCGTGACCAAGAGGCGGAGTGGAGCAACATGATGAGCAGCCTCGAGGCGAAGTACTTAAAACCCAAGGCGGCGGCAGCGTCGAAGGGCGCAGAGCGCAATGGCAAGACGCAGAAAAAGAAGAAAAGGGCGGAGGATGCGCATGCTCCTTCGGCAGCGCCACCGCGCAAAAAAGTACGGAAATAAATTGTGAAGTGTGAGTAAGTGAGTGAGTGCAAATAGCGCGATGCCATAGAAACCCCCATTTTTTTTTTGTCTTGATAATAAAGAGAGGCACATAGAAGGGTGTGTGTCCCGGCAGTAGACATAGACGGAAGCCAAAGGTGTTTGATAAGAGGAGGAAGCTTCGTTTGTCTGCAGTGAATGGACATCGAAGAAGAGGGTGAAGAATGCTCCGGGGGCCCGTGTGCTTCCAGACACGTGCGCAATCGTACGAGCGCACCGGCAAAGGAAAGGGGGATAAAGAGGGAAATTTTTGTGGCTTGGTTGTTGGGAGTCTATTCTCACATTTTCTCTCTTTTGTCACTTGCTTCCTCGCCAAAGCGCTCTGTGTAAAGGTAAAGGAAACGAACATTAACTCTACAGAAACGGATTATAATCGTCTTGGCTAGTTTTGAAAATCATGAGATCGTCCCTAGAGCCTTTGCTGCCAGAAGCTCCTTCGGGGCGGATGCTGCACGCGTCAATTCGGCAGTCGCTGCCAAGTCGCATCAGCGCGCACGTCGCGCGGCGTCTCTCTGTCTTTGGCGTTGCAGAGGCGCCGCGCAATGGTACTGTGGCTGGGGCAGCCATCAACACTCTGTGCAACGTCATTGGGGCAGGGGTGCTGTCACTTCCGCTTGCAATGTATGAAGCCTCCGTAACTGGGGCCATCGTGCTCATGGTATACGCCGCTCTTCTTGCCGGTTTTGCCGCCTTCGCCGTTATCGCGGGGTGTGACTTCACGCAACGCTTTTCCTTCACGGAGGTTATGGCCTTTACCATATATCCTTCTCTTACGTTTGAGGAATTCTGTACAAAGGATCCTAATCTATTGCTAGAGGACTTCATCGAGGTGGAAAAGGGGGCAATGGAGATGGAGGAGCTGCGCAGACAGTACACGGAAAGCGAAATTGTGCGCCGAAAGCGACGCCGCATCGTGACAGTAGTGGTGGAAATCATAATCTTTCTAAACAACTACGGCGCGCTTATCATTTATTCGCGTGTCATTGCTGATTCCATACCCCTCGTGGTGAAGAGCTTTCTGCATGGATCTGGCTTTCTTGTCACACACGCGTTTTGGCGCATCACATCAGGCGTTATCTTCTTTTTCCTCAGCTGTGTGCGGAATATGGACGAACTTAAGTGGACCTCCGTGCTTGGGTTTCTTACCATATTCTACATTGTTGTTACTGTTGTGGTGCGCTACTTCACGAGTTGTGGGGACCCGCCGTATCCAAACGTTAATCCGGAGGATCACGGTGAAACAAATTGGTACTCCGTGGGCACAGGAATATTCCGCACCATGTCTACCTACGGTGTTGCGTTCAGTTACCACTATAATGTGCCGTACTTTTACCGGGAGCTCGCCGACCGCACATCGATGAATATGATAAAAAGCGTATATATTTCCTTTCCTATCATTTTCTCATGTTATGCCCTGACAGGCGTATTTGGATACCTGACGTTTGGCAACTTAGTGGCTAGCAGTGCAGTTGGCGGTGATATCGTGCGCAATTATCCTGATGATGACCCGGTGGTGAATGTAGGGCGCCTTGGACTTTTCCTGCACTTCGCTTGTGTGTATCCCATCCTCTCAGTGTGTGCACGACGTGGGTTGCACAGATTGATCATGCTCGCGTTAACGTGGAGTGCACAGACCACACGCATCGAGGAGGAACGGGAATGCATGCAGGCCTCTAATGAGGGTCGTGAGCGAAGCTCGCGTATCGTAAATGAAACTTCTTTGGAGGCAAATATAGACAGAGACGTTGGTTCCCCAGAGGACACCACACGGTTAGCCATTGTCCTTGAGGCATTGTTTCTTGTTGGTACTACTGTTCTGATGTCCGCCGTTATTTCTGGCATATCAGTTGTGATTGACTTTCTGGGGACATTGTTTGGTATTTTTCTGATGTTAACGGGTCCAGGGTTGATTGCGTGGTTTGTGTTCTCCCGCGCACAACTGGATGGCCCTGCTCCGTACCGATTTGCTCGTCTTTTTATGCTCATTGCGGTGCTGCTTGTTGCCACAGGGGTCGTGTTTACGGTGGTGGGCTTGGCGTTCATCATTAAGAGCTATGTAACGTAGCTGCTTATATTTCTGCTATATAGCCCGTATCTATATATCTCTCCGGGTGTCAACTTGTATATGCTTTTTTTTGTTTTCCCTCATTCATGGCAGTCGTTTCTCCGCGATGACCGTGCATCGAAGAAATCTCCCACTAAACAAACGTATTTTTGCGACTGGCAATGGGAAAGGGAGCAGCTCTCTGCATAAGTTGTCTCGTGAATCCTTATATGGGGTGTGCTGTTAAGGTCTGCTCTTCCCTTCTTTGTAGAGTCTTCCCCTCCGTCTCGTTGTGCACCGCTACTTACATCCATAACAATGCAAATACAGAGGAAAGAGGGGGCATATCTGTGATGCGGCGATGGGGTCAATCAGTCACCGCGGTGTTACTCTCTCTGCGCGTGGCCCGCTCCTTTACATCTTTCCGTACGACGCGTGATGTACAGATGGTCTCTACAATCCAAGTTGACGAGTGTGACGAAGCGACAGACTCCACAGCAAATGTCACTGGGGCTGACAAGGATGCGGGTGATGCAGATGAATCTGTTGTCGAGATGAGTGAGGTGGAGATGCAGGCGCTTCCCAAGACATTTCGGCTGTCGATGCCGAAGGAATCGTGCCTCTCAACGGTGGAGCGGCAGCAGCTCACACGGATGATCTTCGAGACGCACTACGCGCCGGAGGGTGCAGGAAAGGAGGACCGCGCAATGTGGTACCAGAGCGCGTTGGAGGTGCAGTGGCTTGAGGAATGGGCATTCAGTGACGGAGAGAAGGACAAGGATGAGGCTCGTCGCGCTGTCAAGAAGGCGGTGCTGCAACGTGTTGATTTACACAAGCCACTCGCCTATATTATCGGGCATCAGCCGTTTTACGGTTGCAACATTAAGTGTTCTCCACCACTCCTCTGTCCGCGACCAGAGACGGAGATGTGGACCCATTGGTATGTCAGCAACTACCTGAATCGTTCGGCATCAACGGGAGGAGGACAGAGGTCGGCGCTTCGGGTTTTGGACATGTGCTGCGGCACCGGTTGCATCGGAATTGCCATCGCCACGCATGTGCCGCACGCAGAAGTTGTCGCGGTTGACATTATGGATGAGAGTGTGAGGGCGGCTGATGAGAATGCAAGGCTAAACGGTCTGGACTCGAGACGTTATCGTGTTATTAAGAGCGACATGTTTGAGGCGTTCCTTGTGAAGGATAGTCATAATGACAGTGATGTTGGAAGACTGAACGAAGAGGGTGTCAGTGGAAAGAGAAGACTAGAAGAACAACACATTGGCTCGTTTGACGTTGTTGTTGCGAACCCACCGTACGTCTTGCCTGAACAGTACGTCAACCTTCCACCAGGCATTAAACTGTGGGAGTCAAAGCTCGCCTTGGTGGGTGACGCGAAGCGGGAGCAGCAGCAGTATCTCTACTTCCAGGAGCTCTGTGAGCTGGGGGCAGCGGTGCTAAAGCCGAAGACCCAACGCAACACGGCCCTCGTGAATGCGCCGAATCTCATCATTGAGGTGGGTCTGCAGGCGGAGCGCGTTGCGTCCATCATGGAGCGCAGTGATCTGTGGGAGGAGGTGAGTGTGCACCTCGACTACGCGCAGCAGCCGCGGTGGATCTCCGCCAACTCCACGCATTAATTCTACCAAATGCCGCTGTGTGTGTGTGCGTGTGTGTGGAGGGTGATGGAAAGAGGGAGAATATGGAGGGAAAGTCACGCAATGCTATTCACTACTAGCCGTTAGAATTCATTTTTTTTTTCTTTTTGCCTTAGCGTTACTTGCTATGTGGCCCTTTCTTCTCCTTGGCGTCTTTTCTTTTTAAACTATTTCAACGCATTTATAATTCAATACGACTTCAAAGGAAAACGGTTGTACTTCTTCACACGGACTCACTTCCGTGTTAGCATCATCGTGTCATGGTTCTCATCGAGTGCAAACGGCTGCCCAAGGACGAGTATAGCAAAGACTATGATGTCTTTCTGGTGTCCATTCCGGGGAGCACCAACGTCGGGGAGGCAACAGACGCACTTCAGCGGATGCGCAACACACGGGTTCGCATAAAGTGGATGATAGCCGCCGCGAAGCAGCTTGTGAAGGATTCCTGCGCGGAGGACCAGCAGCACCACCTGATGGGCCCTGTTGGCGACGCCGAGCGCTACATGTCACTGGAGCGGGCGGAGAAGCGACTGGTGTGCACCCAGGAGGAGTTGGACGCCCTCATCGCCGCATTCAAGGGCGGTGCGATGATTCTCTTCCCTGCCGAGTGCAGTGGCCCGGACGCGACGAAACGGTTGGCACAGCTGCTCGACGACGACAACACCGCCGACACCGAGCGCTCCAAGGCACACCGCCTCTTGAGCCTCATCGACGACGGCGCCACGACAGAGGATATTCTTGAAGGGACGGTCGTGATGTGGTGGAGCGGTAAGCCACTTGATCGGGCCGCCGATCTCACAAAGTACGTTGGAAAGAACGAGAAAACAAAGATCACAGTAAAACTCGCCGCCAAGGATGCGCCTGCACCGCCGCGAGAGCCAGTGGTAGACGCCAATACACAATCTGAGCTCATGGCGTACTACTATAAGAAACAGGAGGAGATGAAGAAGCTTGTCGAGGATGAAGATCTCTCATACGGCAATAGTGCCTGGGCTGATCCCCAGGGTCTGAAGTCTCAACTGCACGGATTCGAGGGGGTGAAGTACAAACCTATTTAATCTGTACAGGCTTATGTGATGTTATTGCTGTTTTTTTTTTCGTTGACTTCTCTGGGTTGAGGGGCAAGACACGGCGCGGGTGCCACAGGCTGAGTGGATCAACAAGAGTGACCTGGCTGCCTCAGATCCCTGCAGAGTGTCGTTCTCACAATCGTCTGTGTGCTCATCGCCGATGAACTCTCAACGATGATTATAGAGGCTATTAAGCGGAGAAGAAGAGCCGTTGTTACCTGTCACTTTGTTCTCCAAGAGAACGCATGCATTCTGTCGCCTGTGGAATTCTCATTGTTTTTGGTTCTTTTTTTATCATTTTTTTTTTT